AGACGCGCTAGACAGAATGTCTCTCCCGGGATATGTCCTACTTCTTCTAAACCTATTATCAGGCCCATGAAATGCTTTGAACTGCTCAGAACAAAAATGTAATACAAACACCAGGTAGCGACAGTGACATTAATTACCCTGCTTTTGCTGCTGGAAACTAGCAGTGTTTGGGTAAGGTTCAGCTGCAGTTCCCTGACTGGAGAAGACTTACCTAAGCAGGCCGCAAACCACCTCAAAGTGTGAGCATGTCAGGCCAGACAGCACGTTCATAACAAATGTTAAGAACTAATATAATGTTACGACATCTGGTATAAAATCTTATTTTATCAGATGAATATGATTTTTCCTAGTTTGATATCTTTCTGTTACATTTGATAGAGTGTGGCCAAGTTAGGCCTTTGGAATGCGAAAACCAAATTAAGATTAAAGAATTTCCTGAATTCAGTGGCAAACAAAAAGATCAGCCAACTGGATTGAGCGAGACAGTGTGGGCACAAAAACTGTGTGACCCTGAGAACACGACATGCCACACTTGGCTCCCTGACCCAGGTGTCAAAGAGCCACCTGACATACCACTGTGTTTACCTTGGTGTCACCTTTGTGGGTCCCTCTGGAGATGGTGTTAAATAGTGATTGACAGCATAGAATCAGCAGCCAGGGGCATCTGGTTTGAATTATAGCTCTACCACTAACCACCTGCATGTACTTGAGTTATTGTGTAGACCTCACAGTCTCACTTTTGTCATCGCTGAAATGGAAATAGCATTTCACCTATAGCATGTGATTTTTAAGATTACGCAGTCATAGTACATGTGCTACATACAGTGCCTGCCCGTGGCCAAGTGTTCATTCAACGTTGGTTGCTGTTTTGAGGTCATCAAGGGTGCAAATCTTCCTTACAGGAAAAGAGGACATATAAGGACTCCCCAGAACATCTTGTATATCTTACTGCATTGACAGGTCATTGCCAGCTAGCCACGTTCTGCAGGCATTGATAAATGTGATCTTTATATATTGTTGGTAATTGTCAGTAATTCCAGGAAGGAGCCTGAGGGGTATGTGGCATAACTCCTGGTGGCTTATGATGAGATTGGTGGTCACCAGGCTCGGAGTTAAAAGAAACTGCTCTTTTTTTCTCCAGATTAGTTAGACTTTAGACATTCTTGATTACCGTTTGCCCCAAAGCGTTTGGTGCTTTGGAGGTGAGAGAGGTACTGGTTTTGAGAGGCCAGTAGAGTGTGGGTTCATGGTAGAAGTGGCAGAAATGGGTAAGTTTTAAGGGGTCCTATGTTGCTGTCATGGATTGTGAAGTTCACAGCACAAGGCGCTGAGCCTTCCCTTTCTCTGCTTTCTCTCTGTTTGTGGTTTACCCCATGTTTGATGACCCTCACTGCTACATCATCCCTGTCAGCGTAAGTGCAAGTAGGTTGTAAAATGTGGATCAGACTTTCCCGTCAATGATGTAGTCCTCTCAGGGTACTCACCACTCGGCGTAGAGCTGTTTCCTAGGCTCGTTACTTACCCTCCCACAGGTAGAAACACCACTGATTCAAAATCCGTTGGTTTCCCGTGTTATCTTCCTCACTTTATTTTGGTGAAATTCAGGAAATTTTGAAATTGAGTCATCTCTGAAGTTGTGCCTTATCAAATGTCAGAGTAAAATTACCTGAATGCCGCCTCCTTTCCACGTGTAGTTTCAATTTCCTAAAGCTAATTTCTTCCTTTTAATTACAAGCACTCCAAGAAGATCTAGTTTTTGCAACTCAGCATGAGAGCAAGTAACTCTTATGTCTTCAGGCTGAGTTGAATGCAGAAGGCTTCCTGAATCTGCCCAAGTACAACTGCTTAAGGTACAAGATAAATGTTCCCTGTTCTGTTATTATTATTATATTTTTAGTGCTCAGGGTCCGTAGGGAAATGGTCTCCCAATGGTCAGAACCTTGTGCTTGATACTTCTAAAGGAATTTTGCCCTGGTGATAGGTAACAGGGAAACGTGTGTTGTTTCTTTTCTTTTTCTTTTTTTTTCCCCCTGAAAGAGTAATATTTAAAACGTGAACGTTTTAACTGTGTGTTAAATGTTATTTTAAAATCACTAGGTTTGTTTAGACATATTTATCAAATCCAAGTATACTTTTAGGTATCTTGCTGTTTGCTCAGGAAAAAATAAAAACAGAACAGGTTCATTTGAGAGGATTTTGCTTTCCTATAAATAAGGAGCTGTGATGTCTTTCCAGACTGACTGTTTTTGTTGTCATTTTTGGCCCCCCCCCAAATAACTACTGGAAACAGGGAGGGAGATTAGCATCACATCTCAGGCAGAGCTGGAACATCTTCTGTTGAGAGTAGCATTCAGAATTATCCCTGGACTCATTCTCCTAATTTTCCTGACTGCACAGCCTTGAGTCTGCCGAATTTTTACGTGGATTCAGTATTAGTCAGCAAAGGGACAATTCAGGCTGCTTGTTTTAAAAGCAAAACCTCCCTCCCTTTCTTCAGAGTTTTGTGCCTTATCGGGTTCTAAAATTAGTTCTGAATGAGTGTTGTATCAAAAATAATTCCATTTTCATCGGTTTCACATTTTTCAAACTCACATGGTTGGGTTTTAATTCCTTAGTGTATAGTCTTGTGTTAATGCAATCTTACAAAATAGTCTAGATCCTACCTTGCGCCCTATGAAAACTTTGAAAATGACAGTTCTCTCTCTCTTTTGTTTCTAATCTGAGTGCGTAACAAAAAGTTATCAGAAGACTACAGGACTTTTCTCTCCCCACCTTGTTACTTTTCAAACCACTGAACAGGAGCTGTGGCTCTTAATTTAGCAAAATGATGTACTGTCTACCACTTTTTTTTTAACTTTTTTTATTGAGTTCTAGTCATTTTATAATATTGTGTCAAATTCCAGTGTAGAGCACAATTTTCAGTTATACATGAACATACATACATTCATTGTCACATTTTTTTTCGCTGTGAACCTACTACCACT